CCACATGCTAGGATTACAGGCCTATGCCACCATGCCCAGTTTGTGCACTGTTAGGGATTGAACACAAGACCTTGTGCTAACATGGTAACTGCATGTAAACTGCATTTTCACTAGCAATCTCCATTGTATGGAGATACTGTAATTTACTGCTTTCCTTTTACTAGTGACAGGCTTGGGCAGTTTCCAGGTCTGGCTCATTACGAAAGCAACGAAAACTCTGGTGCCGGCCTTGTGGACACAAGTATCCACTCCTGTGGGTGAGCACTTAGCGGCAGCATTGCTGGGTCACAAGGTAGGTAACAAGCTTCTGGCTTTCAAATGCTCCAAGGTGAATTGAAATCAGCAGCCAGAGTTGAGATGCCACTGGAAGAACCCTGCCCACTGTGTCCTCTCTTTGGGGCTCACAGGGAAGAGCATGACTCCTTCTTCCCAAGGCCAGTTGGCCTGCCTGGACCAAGAACCTAAAGTCTTGACCATACCAAGTTTCAGGCACATGGCAACCAGACAGGGTGGGTGACTCCCTGTTACTGGGGATCCCTCTTGTCTGCTAAGGCTGTGAAGTCTATTTCCTATGTTCTGCCAAAAAAGTGTTACGGGCTGGCCTTTCCCATATGACACAAGCTAGTTTGGTATTATTAGAAGAATAACACAGTATTCTTTCTGGAAATCTCTCAAAGCCAAAGCCCCGCCATACGACACAGAAACTGGCTGGCAAGAGCCCCCTGAGGACAAATAGGACATTTATGGAGTCACTAATATGCTAAAATGTGAGGATAAAAAGGGGTTCTTTCTTGTGTCAAAAATAATCCTGTAATTGTTATCTTTTTTTTAAAGATTTGTATGTAAGTACACTGTCACTCTCTTCAGACACACCAGAGGAGGACATCGGATTCCATTACAGATGGTTGTGAGCCACCATGTGGTTGGTGGGAATTGAACTCATGACCTCTGGAAGAACAGTCAGTGCTCTTAACCGCTGAGCCATCTCTCCAGCCCCTGTAGTTGCTGTCTTGATGCCACATCTAGACAACATGTTGTACTGAGAAAAATGGCTATGCCCTTCTGCCAAAGACAGGACAAAGGGGGACAGAGACAGGAGAATCCCACAGCTGAATTTCACGTTGGTGCAGTGGGGCAGGAATAGTGAATTGGAGGTCCCCTGCCAGGTCCCAATCCCATTGCCCCAACTCAGCAACCCTGGAAAATGGCTCTCGGAGGGGCTGCACTTGTCAAGTCACAGGCCCTGCCCAGAGAAGGGTCTGAGCCACCTAGACTGGGAATGGAATGCTTCTTTTTACTGCTTAGGGAAGTTTTGAGATGAATCAGGTATGTGGCAGGCAGAGGCTCTTCATCTAGTGACTAGAAACACCACACCACAGCAGCCAGAAGCACGTGTATACTCCAGACCCAAGCAGCACCATGTGCACTTGGCCAGGAGCTTCCTGAGAAGGAAGAGGAGAAGATGGAGACAGTGTGCAGTTGGTGTGAACAGCAGGGGTGAACAGGACAGATATTCTGTAGGAAGGCCTAGAGCTAAGCAAGAGACCACAGAGTACAGACCCAGGGGGTCACTGGCCAGACCTCCAGTCTAGGAGAGAGCAGAGGGGATCTGTTCTCCTTGGCTGTCCATTAACTTCCAGTTCTGCTTGCAGTGCCCAATGCTTGCAGCCAGACAGGAAACCTCCAGGCCAGGTTTGCTCCAAACCGTATACCAGGCACATCTACGTCATGTAGGCCACAAATGGGGCAAGTTGTGCTGCCTGCATTCCCTGGATAGAGAACGGGAAGCAGCTGGATTCTGTGGCCTTACAGGGCTCGACCACTATGGTGATGTCCAACAACTAACCCTAGGCCACAGACACACCTGCATGAGTCTTGAGGGCCAGGAAGACGAAAGGATTGAAGGGCACATTCAAACCACATCAAGTTTCCTTAGCCCAAGGAACTATGTTCCTTTCTGGGGTGGTCTATAACAAACAGTAAACATGTCCAGCTCAGGTTGTCTACCATCTGACCCTCGGTCCAGCTCTAGCCCTGTGAGAACAAAGATGGAGTCTGAGGCCCAGAACTAGAGCTGAAGCCTCTCCCTCATCCCTGAGTACTGGGAGAACATCAGAGGATTCATACTCCAGTCTAGACGGTGGTCCTTCTTTCCTGGTATCATGTATCCAAGTAGCCTCAACTCACTAATAGCTAAGGACAACCTTGAATCTACACTGCTGTCCTCCTGCTTCTACCTCTCGAGTGGCTAGAATTACAGTCATTTGCCACCAAACCCAGTGGTGCTGGAGATAGAACCTGGAGCTTGGATGCCAGGCAAGACCTCGACCAACTGAGCCACATCCCTGCCAGGGGTGACCTTTCCAATATAGCACACGGCCTGGGCACTCCAGAGATCCTGGCCTCACTCCTGTAGCTTTCCCTGGATGCAGGGCAAAGCCACAACTTCTTGAAAAGACTCTAGGAAAGAAGACTGTAAAGAAACCAGAGAGGTATTCCGGAGCTGAGAGGACGACCAGAGTCCCTTCTGGGGAATGGTATTCCCCAGACAGACATTCTCCAATCTTTCTCTTCTTTACTCAGAGAACAAACAAGCTAAGAGAGCTAGCAGCTCAGGGGCCGGTGTGGGCGAGCTCAGCTACCTGGGAGGTGGACACGGGCTGAAGAAGAATGAGTTCTAACCCTAACAGGAGTTTCTTCTCTCTGCAGGGAACTCAGAAACCTCTGTTTTCCTACCCAGTAGATTGTGAGAGTTGAGAGTGAGGCTCCATCTTCTTACTATGGCAGCCAAGATACTTATCTGCATGTGTCTCTTACTTCAGCCCAGATCTACCCTGCCCCCCAAGTTCTTCACTGATTGGGTGACTGGACCAACCCTAGTGGTTCAAACCCTTTTCTCCTGTTTCCTGACCTCCAAACCCAAGTCCGGGCTCTCAGCCTGCCAAAGGGATATAGCTCCTTATGAGGCAAGAGGCCACAGCAAGGTGTTGAGCTGGCCTCACTCTGGAGAAGAGTAGGGCAGGCTGAGAAGATGCCCCTCTCAGCTGTGGCTGGGCTATGCTCTGCCAGCCTTCTCTCGCCCAGGACAGAATCCCCTGGTCCTCATTCTTTAGTACCTCTCCTCCCTGAAGCCATACCTGCGTCCAGGGATGGAAGTGGCCTCCATCCTGCCCTGAAATTTCCTGGACTGAGTGGCCTGCTTATATAACCATCTCTAGACTGAGCCTTACGACTCCGTCTCTCACATTCCAGGGACTTGCCCAGTTTCATGCATGCAATAAGTGCCCCATAATAATCCAAGGGCTAAGCAAACACTCCCGGCTGAAGGGCTCCTCTGTGTGTGCAGCTTCTGCAGAAATGGAGGGCTCTTAAGGTACAGACACAAGCCTGAAGTGACAGCGGTCTCTGGTTGGACCTTGAACCTCTGGAGATCTTGTTACTGCTTCAGAGCCTCTACAAAATGAAAGTACATAAAATCCTCTTGCTTATGTGCTGTATGATGTTCTGAAAGGGGTCAAAAAGCAGT